AAATGTCATCTTTATAAAACTACTGCAAGGTGGATAGGTAACTGGCTCAATAACCATAGACCAAGGTCATTATTAACAGGTCCATGTCAAAATGGCAGGAGGTTTTGAGTGGAATCCTGCAGGAGTCTGTCCTGGGCCTGGTACTGTTCAACATGTTTATTAATGATTTGGATGCTGGGATAGAAATCTTGAACAAGGTAGGGGATGACACAAAACTGGGAAGGAATGTAAATATGCTGAAGGATGCGAGTGTAATTCAGAAGGATCTCAACAGATTGGAAAGCTGGGTTAGAGCTACCAGGATGAAGCCAATGAAAAATGCTACACCTCAAGAGGAATAATCAAAAACACAAATGCAAAATGGAGAACACCTAGCTGAATAGCATCTCTATGGAAAAGGACTTAAGATTCTTGGTTGATTGCAGGTTGAATATGAGTTTTCAGTGTGATGCAGCCACACAAAAGGTGAATGTGGTTTTGAGCTGCAGCAATAGAAGCATTAGATACAAGACACAGGAGGTGATAGTGCCTCTCTGCTTGGAACTGGTTAGGCCTTATCTGGAGTACTGTTTGCAGTTCTGGGCTCCATATTTCAAAAAAGGACATGGAGAAGTTAGAGAGGGTCCAGAGGCAGACAACAAAGATGATCAAGGGCTCAAAAGTCAAGTCATGTCAGGAAAGGCTGAAGGAGCTAGGCATGTTCAGCTTACAAAAAGGGTTCTTAAGGGGGGACATGATAACATAAAGGGCTGCCATAAAAAAGAGGGAAAGTACTTTTTCTCTCTGCCTGCAGATAGGTGGATGTGGACTAATCGCTTGAAGTTGTGCCAAAGTAAATTTAGATTGGATGTCTTCACTGTTAGAATAGTGAGGCAGTAGAATAGACTGCCTAGGGAAGTTGTGGACTTTCCATCACTGGAAGTGCTCAAAAAGAGATTGGATAGTCATGCTCAGGGATGGTCTAGGCATAGTTATGCCTTCTTTCTACCATGGGTATGACCCATTCTTCTGGGCTTTGCTAGTTTCTGTCCCCCTGCCCTGCAGCCCCTTTTTCTGAGATATGCATCACAGTGTTTTTAAGCCTTTCTTAGAGGCATTGGGTGTTGACTGCATCTAAGGCTGGAGAGTTCAGCTGGGTACAGTCTTTCCCTCTGCTCAGGGTCAGGCCAATTGCCATATGTGGGGTCAGAAAGGAATTATACCCCATGGTCAGGTTGGCATGGACTGTGGGGGGTTTTGCCTTCCTCTGTAGCAAGGGGTATGGTCCTTTACCTGGGAACTCTTGGGCATATGTTGACAACATTCTATAGAAGCAAGATATTGGGTGTCGTGGTTCCCCTGGTTCACCTGTGGTGGGTTAAGGTGTTATATCTATGTTGTGTCAGGGTTGAGGGTAGTTGTATGTAGAGATTATGGACTGTATAGTATAGTTGGCTAGGGCTGATCCTGCCTCAGGCAGAAGGTTGGACTAGATGACCTTTGGAGTTCCCTTCCAGCCCTACTTCTTATGATGCTAAGACTCCTCACAGCTTTCCCTAGCCCATTTCATTAGTTTAATGTGAGAAGAACTGACCACAAGGGACCAGGTTTCTGCTGTAGTGTTTCTAGGGCTGCTGGAGAAGAGAGAAGAGCCTTAACACAGCTGTTGTGAGTACCTGGGTTGGCTGGGCCCCAGCTCCCTACTGTTTGTCTCTGTCCCTATTTTTTAGTACTTATTAGACTTAAAGAAATGACAAAATGAGTATAACTAGAGAGCCTTTAATCATTGAGGGCTGGCTGATCAAACTTCCTGGCAGAGAGGAATCTTGCAGGTATTGCATGCAATTGAAAAGTTACCATCATATCTTTTATACCTTTGCTCAGGGGTGGATTGGGAGGGAAGTGCAGGGAAGGGGGAGTGAAGTGGGGCAGTTGTATCCCCCTTTGATTCCTGGTCCATCCAAAGCTTAAAACCAACTGCGTGGCAATGGCAGCAGCACTTCTATTCAGGCAGCAGTAAGGAACTCTGTTGACTTTATGGTTCATTGTAATCTACCTGATTCCTTCTGAACTCTTCTTTTGACAGGTGTTAACAATATTGCCTTTCCTCACTGTTTCCCTCCTGGATCACAACTCACAGGGAGAGGTAAACAAGAAAAAGGAGAGAGTGGGAAGGAGAAGAACTGCCAGTGGCTCATCAGGTATCTTGCTGGAAGGGGCTGAGGACTAGGCATGGAGATAAAGTGTGGCCTCTAAGAAATAAAGGATTAAAAGAGGGCGCTGATTTATTATCTGCTGCTTTATTTTTTACCCTCTCACTCCATCTCACTCTCATCCTTACTTCCAACTCCACTGGTCCTCACCTTCCTCAGCCAGTAGTCTACTGGGAGTTTAACGCTGAACATCTCTATATACGCTCAGAGGTATCACTGATAGTCAGGGTCACTGCCAGGTTCACCCTAGTACACCACTGATCTCTGTTGGAACCACACATGTCTCCTTATGTTGCTTGACCCTGCCTGCAGCACAACATGATGCCATCCACAAAACTTAGCAAGTCAGCAAGGACAGGGCAAAGGCCCTAGTTTTCTCCTCAACTTTTCTGCCTTATGAGCTCTTTTCAGTCACTGGCCTTCTGATGTTGCTACAGTAACTTGCACAATATAGCCTGGGTTCTTAAGTGACACTTTTGGGTACTATGGCAGCATTTGTGATTGTGAAATGATAATGATCTAATAACATAAAAAACCCACAATCAAGACTCACTAACCTCCACTGTTACTGATACACACACTTAAAAGTATGGTTACAAATCCCTGACGGATGTATAGCTAGTAGAAACTCCTAAGGCAGACAAGGTTCTTTGGGTAGATGTGATATCCCTTATTAGACCAACTAAATAGTTGGAAAAATTGTTCTTTGCAAGCCTTCAGGTGCAAATGCCCTTCTTCAGGCAGAGGGAGAGCTTGCAGTTGTTCTGTGCCCTCCGGAGACATTTCAATTTTCGGCCAAGCTGGACCGCAACTCAGCTGTCTACTAACAGGCAAATTCAGTTAAGGTATCCAAAATGTCCAACTCTGCTGACCTGCGCAATCATGAGGCACGGTTTGTTCATCTATCATGAACAGTTTCATCTTAGCAGCAGGCCTAGAAAACTAAAATGCCCAATCTTGTCGAGACAGCCCAAGGTTTTCAAGAGTAACTAGTGATTCGAAGTGCCTAAATTGAGAGTCATTAAATGGATCTGACTGTTCTTGGCACTTCACCGGCAGGCAAGTTTCTTTGGATGCCGCATCAAGCCTTGCCTGCCTATGTCCTTAGACCGAGGTGGCTACAACCAAAGACACTGCAATGTATCTCAAGCTGGGCATTCAGAGCATCACAGCTTGCTTGGCCACAGGGTCTCCACTCTGTCCAGGGGTCATGGGCCCACGGTCTAGTCGAGGTAGGTTGGGGGCCGGGAATGTTCTGGAAGGAGTGACCGTTAGGAGAGGGTTCCCAGTGAGGAGAAGTGGGCCGGAGGTCCCCGCTGGAGGGTGCTAGCTCTGACTGAAGGGAGGCTGACCCCAGAAACATTATGAGGGCTTGGTGGTTGTCGGGGAGCGGCATAAGGATTTTGTCATTTTTATTTGACCATATTCTGTTGCCCAAGCATTAGATCGCTTGTTTTTCTCTCCATGGAACAAACCCTTTCATTTTTCTCTCTCTCTCTCTCTCTATTTGACTGAAGTGCCTGTGGTAAATTGTGATTTCTGGGCAAATTAATAACCTGGCTATCCCTATTCACCAGAGTGGGGGACCACTCAAGCTTACACAACCCCAGGGTATATTCCTGGGGGCACCCCAACATCCCAGGGTTTTGTCCTACCCGTCTCCCTCACAAACACACTCACCTGCAGAGAGCACTGAAAGCCACCCTCTGAACTCACCCCTGTCCATCTTATTTGGAGTTAAAGTAACAAGTCTAACCAAAGCCTGTCTAGACTGAGATTACAATTCATGGATACTGTTACGTGGATAGTGTAATGACAAACCAAAGCACGTTGTAACTCATAGGGCAGATGGAAGGGATATTTGGAATATAATCATTTCATATTTACTCTCACATATTTGGGGTCTTTTCTATTCACGTTAATTGTGGTTTAAGAGGCTTAGCTTTTTGGATGGCTAACGAGAATGTTATTGTAATGGTTTCTCTTAAATCACTGGTATCTAATCACAATAAGGTGTTTGGGAACTGCCTTCAACCTCTACATGACGTTTTTTGACATAGGTCAGCAACATAAATTGTCCCTTTATGAGTCCTACTGTTGCTGCTTTGCCAAACAGCAGCAGATTGGGGGGGGGGGGCATATCGGTAAATTTTATGTTTGAGGAGAAAGAAATGCTACAGAATGGGAGAGGCAAGAAAGGAGTAACTCTAGTTACTGCGCATTCAGTTAGTACTTCATTAAGGAAATACTTTGGCTGGGCTGATCTAGTTGGGGCTTGTCCAGTTTTGAGCAGGGGGTTGGACTGCATGACCTCCTGAGGTCCCTTCCAGCCCTAACTTTCTATGATTCTACGACTCTGTACTAAATTCAATATGCATTATCTAAGGTGCGTTAATAAGACTGCTGGTGGTGCATGTGATGCTATAAAAATGTATGGACTGATTCTCATCTCACTTGCACTAGTGTCCAAAAGATAAGAGGTGGTGTAGTTCCTGCTTCAGGAGTGCACCAAGTGTGTCTGAAAGCAAGTGAAGGAAGTTTATGAAAATCTCACTTAAAATAACTAGATCAAGGGGGAGCTAAAGGAGGACCAAGCAAAAACAGAGGGAAAGGCTAATGGCTCATTGGCTACCCCTAT